TGTAGAAAACGGGACTTCTCTTCTCATCGTAACTCGTTATGCGTTGCTCGTTAAGCGAGGTTCAACTGTATTTCAACTTTTACAAAATTGCTATAAAATGATTAGAAAAAAATATAAATTTGCGTAAAAATATGTGTTTTTTCGGGATATAGGTTGAAACAACAGAATATCAAGATTATACCTGTGGATAAAATTATTTTTAATATTACAAAACAGTTTATTTATTAAATCAATAATTTTTAGAGTAAATTAATATAGTAATAATTGTATTTTTTTTAATAATAATTATTTTGAAGAATACTAGAATCTTAATTAGAAATTTGGGAATTTTTAGTTTTTGCAATGAAATTCTGTAAATAAAATATTTTGGAGTTTTGGTGTATTTGTTTGGAATATTAAAAAAAAAACTATTTTTTGAGTATTTAATAAATTTTTAAAAAAATACTGGAAGATTAATTAGAAATCTATGATTCTAAATAAGTTTATTTGACTTGGATATTGAAGTTTTGTCCAAATAAAGTGTATGAATTCAAAAGGGTTTTTCACTCTTATTATTTTGAAAGACAAACCAAGATCAATTGCTGAATATGCTGTTTGGGGTTGTAAGTAAGCTCAACCAAACAACAACAAAAACCGTAGAGACACTTCATCCACCCCCAACAAGATTGACGAAAGATCAAAGCAGCAGGGAGCAGTTGAAATTATGCAATTTTTCCCCGAATCTCTCTCTCACTCTGGGTAGTTGTTGTTTTTTTTTGGTTTACGGTTTGATTTGATTCACGCAATTACCAGAGGCCTGGGGGTGAAAATCCCCGGTGCTCGGTCACGTTTAAGTAAGTAATTAATTTCAAATTATCTAATTCATTATCTGGCCGCACGTATGTGCATATATTTATGAGGCGGGGGCGACCTAAAAATAGGGTTTCTTCGTGATTCGTGCGAGCGACGGGTGGCTGAAGCGAAAAAAAAAAGTTAGTGATATCAAAATGGAAATGAGCGAGAGAAAGAGGGACAAGTTGAAACAACAACATCAGCAGCAACAACAACAACAACGAAGGTGGAAGATCGTAATCTGCTTGGCAGTGTGAAAATATGTATTTAATTTAACGGCCATTTATCATTTCCTCATTTACCGGCCAACACCGGAAACGGCTATGATTTATCGCGCGAATTATGTAATTTAATTGCCCACGTCCACACATCATTTCGGTGAGGCTCCCCGTCGGGATGGAATGGATGGTCGCAAAGGGAAAAATCATTCGAAGCAATCGGGGGTGAGACAGAAAACAACTACACCATCAAGCAGTGGAGGAGGAGGAGAATATGAAGGGAACCGAAGGGAGTTATCTGCCCGTTAAAATTGTTCGCGCCCTTTGTTGTTTGTTTGTCCTTTGCGGATTTATTGTTCACGCGAATGGGGAAGAACCGCTTGTTTTCAATACAGCGCGCAGAAGAAGAAAGAGAGCAGGGAAAATAAAAAATAAAGTACAACGAAAAATTGAGGCGAGCATAATAATAATAATAATAAATAGAAATGCTCCACTTCTTCTTGGGGTGGAGGAGTGAGCGTCGGGGAGTTTTTTTTTTGGGGGGTTGTTGCAGGGGGACGAAAATAATATCGCTATAATAAAACAAAGCCGGGGGACCATAAGGGCCGTCCTTCGAGACCCTCCAATGCACCGACCACTTAAAGGTATTATGAATCAATCAATATTTGTTTAAGTTTGTGTATACATAACCATACTTAGACCCATTGTGCATGCTCTAAATATATGTGCACATTGTTTGTATTACATAATTACTATATTGGGGGGGTTCGTTCCTTATTTCTTTATTTTTTTCTCTTTTCTTTGTTGCTGCTGCTGCTGCTTCGATCCCTTTTCTTCGTCCTCTTTGCACACCCGTCATCATCAACCGGCGGTATTTTTCATCCTTACGATCTTCTCAAAACATCATCCCAACAGCTCAAATCTTAATCTTACATATTTACACAAATTCTTATATTTCATAAGAAAAATGTACGTTTATATTAATTTCATCACAATTTTACATATTTACTCAAATAATTCTATTTCATAAAAATTTTAAACTTATTTCATTGATAACATAGAAATTGTCATTCAATTTCATTTTATATAATCGTTTTTTTTTTTACAAATTTCTCAAGCAAAACAAAATTTTACAATTACAAAAAAATACATATTTACTCAAATGCTTCTAAATCATTATAAAAGTTCACGTTTATATCAAATTTAAGCTAATTTTATTGTAATCATAATTTTTTTATTAATATTTCTTTGAAATTTGGAACGGGAAATGAATTTTTCAACATCATTATGTGAATATGCGGAAGTTTCGAAACGAAATTAATTTCATCCGGGGGTTAAAAACTAAGGCAGCCCGAATGGAAGATCGATTTTCCGCGTCTGCTAAGCGTCCCATTATGTGCAGGATTTGCTGTGACACCGAACAGGACGAGAGGACTGCTGATTTCAAAAACAGGACCACTACTATCGTACTAATTAATTAATTAATCATCCGCGGAACTCCGACAAACTAAAATAATTTATACAAAAAGAAAAGAGAGAATGGAACATGAAGAAGAATATGCAGCATTTAATTATATTTAAATGCGAAAACTGCTTTCCGTCGAAATTGAAGAGGAGTAAGTTCAAAGTTT